GTTCAGGAACGAAGACGGAGGACGCCGGAGGTAACTCCGATAACCTCTTCCAAAGAATAAAGCAGAGTGAACAAGGCCCAATCTCCAAAGTCTACACGCTACATGAATCCACTTATATAACACACCCCTTTAAAAAGGCACAAAGTTGCAAAAATGTAGAGCATTCAGTGGTTCTCAAAGGTTAAAGAGAGGTTGTGCTGGGCGGGCGATGGGTGTTGCTGTAAAAAAAGCAGCATGCAACATTCTTCGTAATGATGAAAACATTCTGGACTTTGGTTCTACCCATGTCAGTGTCTTGGTTCTGATATTGTGCCACAGTTTCACAATATGTTGTCATTGGAAGAAGCTGGGTACAAAGGTTACACTGGGGCTCTCTTGTTTCTTCCAACAATTTTAATTATCTCAGAATAACAAGTTCAAAAACATAACCAGAGGAAACTAGGCACATAGATAGTCCATTGTTTTTCTAACAAATGAGCCAATGGAATTCAACAGTGAAAAGGTTGTACATATTTTTAGTAATTTACAGGACTAACTGGATATTAATATGCAAAATATGAATCTCCAGCTTCAATTCACAATGTATATAAAAACTAATTCAAAACAGGTCCTACATCTAAAGTAGAAGCAAAAAAAATTATTGTAAAAACACTATAAAATTCCACCATCTTTAAGTGTTGACTTTTTGCTACCAAAAATTGCAAACTATAAAAGAAAAATTGATGTTAGGCATTATCAAAATAAAACATTCATAAAATTCATGCACAAGCAGAATGTATATCTCTAACAAAGGATTCTATCCAGAATATATGAAGAATTATCACTCGTCAATAATATGACACATAACTATTTTAAGTAGAGAAATGATTCGAAAAGACATTTTGCAAATGCAACATGTGAATAGCTAAAAACCACATGAAAGAAAGTCAACACCAAGTGATGTATACTAAAATTTCAATGGAATTTTGCAAAGGAACTGAATCACTTTCCGCTTTTAATCACGCCCGTGAGAAAGGACTGCAGCATTCAAGTCCCTGCTGTTACAGGGACAGTGTTAGGGGATCTCAAGGGCTTACTGTTCTCCCCGTGGTACACAATGATCTCAAGTCCATTCACAGTGCCAGGTAGGAAGTGCAGCGGCTCCTGGCAATTAGCATCTGGTCAGGAGGTCCATCCTTTCCACCCGCTGGCCCTCAGCCAGATAATTCTAAGGGGAAGAATTGCAAAGACCCAGAGGCCCATCAGAGAGTGTGCCCCATTAAGGTTGTGACGATAAAATAAATGGGGGGCTGGCACTGTGGTGTACTGGGTAAAGCTGCAGCCTGTGGCACCGGCATCCCATGTGGGTACTGGTTCAAGTTCCAGTTGTTCCATTTCTGATTCAGCTCCCTGCTAATGCACCTGGGAGAGCAGTGGGAGATGACCCAAGTCTTTGGCCCCTGAACCCCTGAGAAGATGGAATTCCATGTCTTCAGCCTGGCTCAACCTTGACATTTGGAATCATTTGGGGAGTGAACCAGCAAATAAAATACATCTCTCTTTCTCTCCCCTCACCACCACCCCCATCTCCTGCCCATGACTCTGCCTTTCAACTAAATAAATAAATCTTTGAAAATAAAAAAAAATTGAAATTATGTTGCTAAAAATTTTAACAAAAAATAGGATGGAAGAAGGGAGGTTGAGAGAGGACAGGAGGGGCTGCGTAGTCCTATAATTGTATCTATGTAACACATACATACATGTAACACATGAAAGCTGTCCTCTTTTTACGAATAAAAATAAAAATAGGAAAGTGCTTTCATGTTTTTCTTACAATGAAATGTCAACAGGAGATGTCTAGATAGGGAATAATAAGATTGTCATTATAGGATATCTTTGTATACATTTATTGAGATGCACTGTATACATCTACTGAAATATCAACTGTAGCCCATAATTATGTGCAATTCTTAAGTGTTAATCAAAAACATTTAAAAAATGTTTGGGCTGAAACACGGTGGCTCAATGGCTAAATCCTCGCCTTGCATGTGCTGGGATCCCATAATGGGCACCAAGCCATGTCCCGGATGCTCCACTTCTCATCCAGTTCCCTGCCAATGGCCTGGGAAAGCAACAAAAGATGAGGTTATTAGACTCTGCACCCATGTGGGAGACCTGGAAGAAGCTCCTGGCTCCTGGGTTCGGATAGCTCAGCTCCAGCCATTGTGGCCACTTTGGGAATGAACTAGTGGATTAAAGATCTGTCTCTCCTTCTCCCAGTAAATCTGCTTTTCCAACAAAAATAAATAAATCTTTAAAAAAGAGTTTAAGGGATTAAAATGCTAATTAATCCAGTTTTAGATTATATTCACGTGTGGAATTATCACATTGTACCCCATATATATATTAAAACTAAACAGGAGGCCGTTAGGAGTCCTTAGTAGCTGAAGACAACGAGGGGATAAGAGGAGGAAGGACTCAAAATGACTGCCCAGTTTGTGGCCACAGCAGCCTGGAGTGAAGTACTGCTGTGTGATGAGTGAGAAAATATTTTAGGAAGGAGAAAACACTTCGGGGTTTGAAATGGCTCTGAGACTTCCCTGGGTGCACGCTGAGTCATCCGTCACAGAGTTGACATATATCCTGGAAAAAGATTACTTTTTCTCTCCCATAAGATACCAAAGTACATTTCAAATGGAGTAGAGATTTAAATGACAAAATTTAATTTCCACATAATTCAAATCATAGAGGAGAATATAAACTCTGATTAGAAAAACTTCTTAGAATGAAACAAAGAAACCTGAATAAAAAACCTGAATAAAAGATACAGTGAAAAAAAATTAAAATATGCAGCCAGTGTCGTGGTCCAGCAAGTTAAGCCATCACCTTCAATGCTGACATCCCATATGGGCACTGGTTCAAGTCCTGGTTGCTCCACTTCCATATTCTTGCCAAGGCATATGAAAAACCACCAGGAGATGACCCAAATCATTGAGCTCCTGCACCCAAGCGAGATAACTGGAAGGAGTTCTGGGCTCCTGACTTTAGCAGGACCCAGCCCTAGCCATCCCAGTGCTGATATTTGGTGAGTGAATCAGTGGAAAGAAAGTCAGTCTGTCTCTCTCTTTCTCTCCCCCTGCTCCCGTGTGTGTGTGTGTGTGTGTGTCACTGTGCCTTTCAAATATGCACACATTTTTGTTAAAAGAAAAAGAAACACAAATAACCAGAAACATATTTGAAAGCTTCCACTCTCCCCGGAATCACAGGCCTGCCCCAGTCGGTGACACTGGTACTGCTCCGTACCATGACGGGAGTGAAGGGTGTCCCCGGGTTTCCACAGAGAATACTAAGGAAATGCATAGGGTTCTCTCGATGCCTCCGACTCTGACCCTGAGAAATAGTATGAGTACAAAAATGTACACAAAGATATGCCTTACAACGTTGTTTCAAACCAGGAAAAGTTCTCGGTTGCAGAGGAACTGAAACAATCATGAGATTTCATATCATGGGCTACAGGCAGCCGGGAAAAATGAAAACGCAGAAGCATTTTTGCTTTCCACATCATGGTGTGGAAACACATTCATTACATGTATGTATTTTAAGCAAAAAGTAATTTATAATAGTATAAACGATATGATTCTTTGTATGTTCCAATAAATATCAGTAACTTCACACACACATACACACCCCTACAGGAAAATCACCAGATATCAAAAAATGTATCAAAATATTATGTTCTAGTAGTGCAATTTTAATTGCTATGTTTTTTATCTTGATAACCCTGTATTTTTAAATTTTTATCCCCTATTTTTATTACTCATGGATAAGGATATCTGGACAAAAACACGATGCATTTCCAATATTATTTTTGTCTCTGAGAAACGACAAGTAGGTATCTGTGGGTTTGTAACCATTCAGCAAAACAGAACCATCCAAGAAGCTTTCTGTGACACAATCTCACTTTTCAACCCCAGGAAAAAAAAAATCCAAATCAGAAAACCTAGGATGTAATACTGAAAAACATGAGTAGACTTCAAAAAACTTGTGGAAAATGGAATGAAAAGGTAGGTTTATTTTGAGGGGCAAGAAAGTTTTGAATCTGTGCAGACTTTTTTCAGGATATGCATCTTCCAGGAACTTTCTAAAGATCCTGTATGGAAGGCAGGGTCAGTGCTGCTTCTCCCACCTCTTGGTTGTTGCGGCTTCCCCAAGGCACACAGGAGACACCCCAGGATGGGTGAGGGAACCAGTCTCCATGAAATGCCTGGAGGGCATGCAGCGGCCTGCAGCCTAAGAGCCCACCTGGTTCTAGAAGATCAGGCATGCCAGTGTACAAACCAGAATGACATTTACGCTGTTGGGAGTGAAACTCAGAAAACACACTTTATCCAGCTCTCCAAACATCATGACTCCTGCATCCTGCTGGAATAACAAACCACTGCAATGGTACAGACTTCCTTCCGGGAACCTGATGGAAACTTCACAGAGTCCCTGCAGCCCCTGAAGGGGCGACTAAGAAGAACCTCAGGTTGGACTGGATCTCCTTACCTTCAACTGACTCCTGCTCGGTGTCTAGGAACCCCCAAGGTTCCTGTGCACCCCAGAGCCAGGTCTTCTAGCCTCTCTCTCCACCCCACTATCCCTGCAGACTTCTGTAGGGCTTAAGTCCACACTCATAGTTGATCTCCAACCTGGAGTGTCACCCTTACTTCCCACCACTATCTGTTTTCAAAATCCCATCACTTTTATGCTCTCAATAAAATTCAGCACAGCAGCTCCGATGGAGAGTCCGCAGAGGATGCACTTGATCCTTCCTTTCAGCCTTGGAAACAACCAGCAATGATGGTGATGCAAGTGTAAACACCCATGGGATTCCAAAGTCTACGTCAAAATAGATCCGCACCCTAGCAATGCCTCCTTACACTTTGCAAATTATGTTGTTAGCTTGTAATTATTTCAGGTTCACTTCTGAAATCTCAGGGATGTGATAAAGCTGAAAATTCAGCCCCCAGACCACTTGCCTGTAAAGCCAGGTGGGCAGACGCACGTGCCGTTCAAGCCTTCACTGTCACAGGTGCCTCCATTCAGACAGCTGATGTTGGCACAGGGATCCTTGTACAGTTCACAGTGAATCCCTGCGGAGAAACAGGCAAGGGATGATCAGGCAGCAGTCTTCAGATTCTGTGTGTGTGTGTGTATAACACACATGCACGTCGCATGTTCACTCTTGACTTCAGACTGTCATAAAAACATACGTATAAGAACATCATCAATCCCTACTTGCAGGTCCTACTACAAATATCTCCACATGTCCCAAAGCCCAAAGTTAATTAGTCAACAGTAAATGTGAAGGTCCCCCGCAAAACAGATAATGGCTACACAGACCTAATACAGTTTCCATGTAATTGAAACAGCATCCTAAAACAAAGAAGATCTGGAACCAGATATTGCTACGAGCCCCAGTTCTATCTTGCAGAAATAAAGGAGGCAGAGCCACTCTGTATTTCAGCTTCATTCCCAAAGGCCAAATCAGTTCACCACAAAGGTACCAGGTGCTGGGTGACCTAACTGCCACGATTCAGATCCTCACACCAACACAGCAAGCACTCTTTCTTCCTCCCCAGTTTAGAGATGGGGAAACTGAGGGAACAACCCAAGATCACGAGCCTAGTAAGGGAAGCTGGGATTTGAACCTGCTAAACATTCAAACGCAGTCTGTGCTTACTGCAGAGTTGACTGAGAGTGGTTTCTGTCTGATCACAGAAATATCCCAAGGCTTTGAAAAGTCAGAATAATAAAAAAGAGGAATTTTAAATCTTTGCAGCAAGATCTTAAATTTTAAATCTAATCCAGCAAGCAATGCCTATGAGCAAAACTGCTGCTTTCAGATTAAATTCTCGCATAGAGCCCTCATCTTCACTCCTGAGAAACAGTGGCTTTCCTACTTCCTACTGGTTGAACTCTTTAGTTTAAGGTTAAGCTTGTGATGAAGTGAACTGAAAGTATGTCATTGCAAAATTCAAAAGAAAACGAGGAGGAGGAGGGAGTGTGAGGGAGGAAGAGTGAGGGAGGGAAGAAACGACGGGAGATATCATCATGCCTTCCGAATTGCATGGAGGAAGCACAGGACATTTGCTTGCCTGATAGCATTGTTCCAATAAAACAAAACAAATGGGTTCATAAAGTGTCTGCACAGTTACAAACAAAACCATTTTCTGTTAGTGCAAAAAAATCAAAGCCAAGCACTAACACAAGGATATGCATGTACTTGTGCAAATGCCTGAAGTGGGACCGGAATGCTTCTAGAACAGATAACTGACATCTCTATTTGCCACAGTACAGACACTGTATTAGCAATTTTTATGATAAACATATATGTTTTGTAACTCTATTTTTTTTAAATCCAATGCTATATGAAAAATGGTACGATGATGTGTCAGAATGAACAAATGGGTCTATTGGTCTGTTTATTCACCCCCTCCATGCCCCACCCTTTGGCAGGGAAGAAAAATCACATCCTATTCTGAATAAGAATGTAAATACCAACGTGGCCGTCCTCCTCCACAGCCTTAAGATGCACACACATCGAGCAGCTGGGAAGTGGAGGTATTTATTTAATATGTTCCCAACTTCACTTCTTAGATTGTGCAACAGACGGCCACGCCCAGTGACTCATCATCTGGTCACTGAAGTCATCCTTGCTGGGGCTGGCACTCACTTCTTTGTCCTGTCTTAAGAAGCAAGGATCAGTAAAGAGGAAAAGAAGTGTGAAAAGAGAGACGGAACTTCCTCTCTGCACATAAACAACTTCCATGAGCTAAGGAGGGCATTTGAGAAAGAAAAGCTTTGAATTTTGCCACTTCCCCTGCCCCATAACCAAGCCATCCACAAGGGTCAGGCAGATATTTTTCTGAAGTACTCTTTACTCTTGGCCCCCTTTCCCCTGCTATAATCGCCCGGATGCCACAGTCTCCTGTGATGGGAAACAGTCCTCCATCGTCTATTCCTAGGGACTTGATGGATCCTCCCAGGCTGCTGTCACCCTGAACAAACCCAGGATGCAAAAGAAAATATCAAATGAGTGGAATGATCAGCATAAACTGGGTCAGTCTTCTTCATTTGGGTGTGCCTGGCTTCATCTCCCAGAAGTCTCCAGTGCTTTTTTTTTTTTTCTTCACACTGACTCCCAAGGAACATGGATTCAATTGAAAAAGCAAAATGCAGAAGAGCCTTTTCAGCTTCAAAACACTTGTAGCAAAACAAGTATTCATTTATTTACAAGTTCCCATGGGGTTGTTTAATGGGAACCAGGAGACAAAAACGTTTTCCATCGTAATGGGAAATGCAGGCACCACCAAAGCCCAAAAGTGACCAAAATCTAAAAAAAAAAAAACAAAAATTTCCATTAGACTCAAAAAAATAAAAAATAAATGTTCAAATGATCTTCAGAAAGCTTCTAGTAATACACTTGCTAACCCTGCTGTGTATTGTAATTAAAATGTTTGCCAAAAAATGAGGTACTTTTTAAATAAGGAAAAATCAAAACCCAGGTTAAATATTTAAGCACCTTATCCTAAAGATTTTCAATTATTAAATAGTTGTTGAAAACACCCAAGGTGAGCAATTTTGGACTTCTGTGTATTTGGAGGGTTTTTACGGCAATAACTCTGTCCCTTGTTATTCCTCTTTTGCAAGAGATAAGCGATTGGGTCACTTAATCATCCCCAGACAGCTTTTTGGCAGCAAGACCGGACAAAAGCGCACAGAAACACCATGACTATGAAACAAGACGGTCTTAAAGTCTCCAATGAGCACTTTGATGACTCACACGTCTGTGCTCTAAGCCTCACTAATTCCTATACGAAAAATGTGTCACGGTGCTTTGCTTGGCATTAGAGATGAAAAACCCCTAGCCAGAAACTTGAAACCCAGAGAATGAAAGAGGCCTGGACCATAGTGAGGCGCCAAGGGAGCCTCCACACCAACACTCCTCTTAAGACCTCTGGGTCCCCCTTTCATGTACTTTTCAAATTAGTTCTATTACTTTCCATGATACAGTTTTGTAGGTATAGGGATTCCCTCCATTTTCCTTCCCTTTCTCCACCACCATTTTCCTCTCCCAACATTTTACCTTTATATTATTACAGAGATGTAATTCTTTAGTAACAGTTACAAGCTTAACATTCTGCTGTTTAAATGTATCATGGCATTGTAGATGTGGACAAAAAACAGAAAACCGGGCCCGGCGCGGTGGCGCAAGTGGTTAAAGGTCCTTGCCTTGCACCCCCGGGATCCCATATGGGCGCCGGTTCTAATCCCGGCAGCCCCGCTTCCCTTCCAGCTCCCTGCTTGTGGCCTGGGAAAGCAGTCGAGGACGGCCCAAAGCTTTGGGAACCTGCACCCGCGTGGGAGACCCGGAAGAGGCTCCTGGCTTCGGATCGGCATAGTATCGGCCCGTTGCGCTCACTTGGGGAGTGAATCATCGGATGGAAGATCTTCCTCTCTGTCTCTCCTCTCTGTATATCCGCCTTTCCAATGAAAAAATAATAAAAATAAATCTTTAAAAAAAAAAAAAACAGAAAACCTAACATCCTATTGTCAAGGCATATTTAACTGGGGAGTCCTCCTTTCATGTGGAAGTCGGGATGCCATTCCTGGGGGTCCCCAGCACTCATCCAACATTGCTTCCATCTGAGTCCTTCCCTCAGCGTGGACCTTGCCTCATTCTCAAGTCCCAAAGCCAAAGCTTTTTTTCAGGAAAACCAACTCTTGAGGTTCTTCTGTCACCCTGCTTTGAGAACAGACTTGGATTGTCGTTGTGAGAAGCCATTGCACCCATCATAACCAAAGCCTTCTCCTGTCTGGCTGCCCTACAAATCCCCGAGGATCTGAAGAGCACAGGCCAAAACTTAATGCATGGGTGGAGATGTGGCCAAGCCACCAGCGTGCATTGCTGCCACACAGGTGAGACTGCTGGAGGAACAGGAATCTGTTCCAACTTCCAGCTCTGCCTCAGCAACACCCCGTTTTGTCAGGGGAAAGCAGGTCCGCATGACGAACTGAGTCTGTGCAATGACACATCCATCACCCATTGGCAAAAGGCAAAGCACGCATGATTACGAAACTGTGTTTAGTCTCCAGCAAAAATAAACTGTAATTCAGTCAAAACTAATAAAAATTCATACTTTTCATATTAAAGGATGGAGAGGCAATGTTTTTGAAAGGATTTCTATTCCAACAGGGCTCTTTACAGAAGTTAATCTTAGAATTAAAATGAACAAGAATTCAAGGAGCAATGTACCAATTATAAATCTTTGCTGTCACCACAAATTTGGTCCCGATTAATATTTGAAAACTGAAAGTCATCCCTACATCTTCAGGAAAAATAAGACAGGTAAGGAAAATTCACCAGACGTATTCTTTGTGCTTAAATTTGACTCAAGACATCATCTTACTCAAATTCACTTCCTTTAAGAAAACTTCTCCAGCACTAAACTGTTTCAGAAATTACAACTGGCATCTCAACCTCAGCCTCATGGGGGTATTGGCTGCAGTCTTCTCTTTTGGTACAATAACAGCCCAGGGAAGGAAGAGCACTTGCCTTTTATCCATTTTTTTGCATTTATCATTGTGCTTGAGAAGGTCTGGGTACACACAATTCCCAGAGCTTCTTGCTCACTGATTGACAGACTCTAACAGAGGAAATAATTTTGCTCAACAAAGCAAGAACCATCCTTTCAATTACAAATTTATGTGGCCATTAAAAATAAACAAGTACGGTGTCAACAAATTTATACCTCAGTGATTTCATTTCCGAGACTATCAGTAAAATTAATTCAGACTGTATGAAAAGTGTATGTAAAAATGAGTTCCGCCAATAATTATTTAGAAAAGCCCCACATTAGAAGCAACAGCAAGAAAATAAATCTGTATTTCTTCATGGGAACTCCAGAGAGCTACTTAAAAGAAAACCAGTTAAAACTTTCTAACAATATGCAAGAAGTCTTCAAAAAGCTTATGGAAAACATACATAATGAAAAAAAACTACCCATGGATTTAAACCATTTAGCATTAAAACAAACTTATTTTGCAATTCCAACTTTTCATGAACTTTCTGAAGTACTCCTGTATAAGT